TATGAATAATTAGCAAGTCAGAAGTTATTTTCCCAAAGCCAATTTAAACGTAACAAGCAACAAATCTGCCAAAATTAATAACCACAATATCATTAGCACCGCCTTTCTCTTACTCTGTGCAGAAATATTCCTCCAGAAGAATTCACAATCTGGCAATTTGCCATGTTTCAAATAGTTTCTAAATTTTTGTTCAAAATGTTTGATTTGTATTTGAATTGAAATACTGACCTCATAACTGATTTCCGAAGCCGTGTCATGAAACCAAACTGTTTTAAAAGTCAAAAACACGGAAATTGTTGAATTTTGGGTGAATGTCAGCAATAGAACTATGTGTCCACCCTCTCACTCAAACACACCAAAAACTGAATTTGCACAGTATCTCTAACGAAGCCGATTAATATCAGTCAGACTTCAGTTGATAATGATCTCATATAACTGCCAAATACTTCGATTCCGGTAAAGTGGTCAGCAAAAGCAAACAACAGTCAGATCAGTCCAGTAACAATCAAAAACCCTGTTCCATCGGCAGAAGCGTAAAAGTAATATTTCAGAAAATAAAACTGATTATGCCAGGAGTTCAGTGCCAAGAAAACTAATACATAAATAGGATAAGTTTCATTATGAGGCATTCTAATCAGAGGACCTCTTGACTTTCTCACTGAACAAAACCTGTTTGAAACTACCCAAACAGACTGGTGAAAACAACAATTTGAAAAAACAAAACACAATGAATTCACAAGGACAAAGTTTTTCTACCTACATGATAGTCTTCTTCAGTACCTTAAACATCGGGAAAGCTTTAAGTAACCTATTTTGAAACCTTGGAAGCACCTGTTATTACAACACCAAGTTCATTTCGATTCAGTTAAAATAAATTTCGTTGAACTCCTGACATGGAAGCACAGATCAGTTTATATTCATCATCAAATATTTGCACCATATTCTGGTTTATTTTCCGAACATTACAACACACTGACTCTTATAATATATTACTCGATATAAGATAAATGTTTTTACTTAAAATTTGAAAACAAAAACAAGAAGGGCTACACTGGTTTGGTGACTAATTCATTCAGATTCTATGTTTGAATGAAAAATTGATATTCTCTACTGCTGTACTGAGCAAAAAAAGAGTTAAAATCGTGTCCACCTGTGATGTACTTACCTAAAATTTGGTGTGACAAAGGATCATACATATCAATATTATAAAGAGCTGCCATGTAGCCTCCTTCCAATACTATATTCTAAAGAGCGACTACAATTGATATACTTGTTGAGATTTCATCAGATCAATCTAATTTCTGTTTCTTTGAAACATCAAAAGAATTTATCTCTTTCTATATCTAAACGCGTACTGTGGCATTGGGAATATAATGAAGGAAGGAGAGGATCGATCTTATAAAGCAATAAAAGTAATTTAAATAATAAATGAAAATAAGGCAGTCAGTAAAAAAATACAATGCTCGTAAAAAAGCCACTCAGATAAGCAGATCATTTCATCTGATTGACTCTGTTACAAGTATCCCAAATTGCTCAGTTCACAATCAAACCTCTCAAATTATTTTCAGTAGTATTTATCTATAATTGAATTGAGAAGTATTTTTTGATGTCATCGATCTGGGCAATTGTTAAAGCCTCTAATGAAAAGTATAAAATTTCATACCTTATATGAGATTCTTACATATGAAATATGTAATTCTACGGACATACTCAACGAAAAGAGCTAGACTACCTACATTATACGCATATTCAAGTTATTTTGATTATAACAGTTAGAACTTACTGATATGGACGAAATCAACTAAACCAATCACTTTCAATAGCTACAAAACAAAAAAGAACACAGTTTAAATGGCGAATATTTTCAACAGTTATAAGTTAGATAAGTCTCTGAGATAGCACAACACAGAAAGCTATTTCACATTCACGATAACTTAAACATAAGTGCCCACTGCGTTATTATTTGTTCCTTGCATGGCTGCCGATGTGCCTAACTGCTGCATGTTGCTAGGCAAGTATTGCCCAATGAAAGATCCATCTTCGGCAAAGCGACCTGATGAAAAATAAATAACCATATAAATTTTGAACTGAGAAAGGATTTAAAGAAATATTTCCAAAATAATTTATCCCTTCTTCAAAATGTAATGAACAAGAAGCTTTCAATTTCTAAGATCATTGACGGCAGATTTATTACGTATACAACTATAATTGTCTTGCAACACCTCACTGATGTAATATGTTCAAGGCATCCAGTATTACAGAATTGTTGGTTTAATGTATTGGAATAAAAAAAGAATTAGTAAATCTCTCTCAAAGTTATAAAAATAAATTTCTTGCATTCTAGTTAACTAGTTCTGTTATATTATATGAAAAGTATAACAAATATAATGATTAGCAGAATCTTGTGATAATGCATTTTGCTCCTTGGCTTCTTTTTAATAATTGAAACATAAAGAAAAAAGCCCCGCATAGTTATTCTTCTTAATTTCATCTAGGTAATATTTGTTTTCAATACACTAAATTATCTGGGCACTTAGATCCTAAATATACGTAAGCATGAATATCTCCATCTCACGAAGTTGCTACCTATGGGATCGACAGAAAGCTCAAACTATTCTTATCTAAGATCCCCACGGCAGTCTGCTGACATTGACCACCGTGGGAAGCTTTATTTGCCTTGGATAAGCAAGGTTTGAATTTTCTGTCGATTCCATAGATAGAGTCTTCTTAAGGGAAGATATTCTTTCCTACTAATACTCATGATTGTTCTTTAAAAACAGTTGAATCCAACAACCATTTCTAGTTCAGCCCAGCTTCAATAGCAGGTCAAAAAGTGCTGTCCAAAGTCTGCTGCAAGAAAGTGCGAACCTTCGATTGAAAACTCTGACTCTTAATAACTTCACATGATTAGTTTTTACTTATTACTAATAGCAATGAAAAAATATTGCTAAGAAAAACAACAATATATAATCTACTTCTACCAATATATCCAATAGAATTACCACAAAACCTATAAATTAATTCAACAAAATCCCATTCGATCAACCATGCAACTGAAAACATTTACTTCAATTCATTCCACTTACAAACCAGTCTTATCTTTTTGAAAATTCATCATTCATCTACTCCATTTGTATTTTTGTGTTTTGAATAAAGCAAACAATCAATTGTTATACTGACAAACTATAGAAGTAGATTGTTGATATATATCACACTAAGAAACACTGGTTTACGGTTCTCGTGAAGATATATTTTTTGCGAGTTTCACCATAGGAACGATCCTTGTTTACACGCCCACACATGCAAACACACACACACATAACCATAATGAATTATTTTTTCATGTATGTAAAAAAATCAGTTCTCTAAAATTAGTGAAGGCTACAAAAAATTGTATCCACATTTAAACATTCACATTTGATATGGCAAACTTAAAATTTTCAATTTGAATTGGAATATGAAAAAAGTATTCATTCCATAATTCCTAGGCAATTTTAAAAACTTTAAGGAACCATAATTTTGCAAAATAACACAAAGAAGTGGTACCTAACAAAAAGGTAATTATTAGTTGAAACAGGCCTTCAAAAGTACTGAAATGAACATTTTCGTACAGTTGGGACAAGACTACATGTGTTTTCAATTTGTGCTTATTGGTTTTTAAAGTAATATTATTGCCATTCTCAAAGCTAACTCAGAAAGTGTGACAAAATATTGTAAATAAATAACATAACTTTAATTGAATCATCACTGAACTTCAAAATTTTAATTATAGTTTTAGTGCAGGATAAAATAATGAATACAAATTCACAATTTTTATTGCTTTCCCTCAATTTTTTGAAGTTACCTAATAATTGAGGAATACTATATAGGGGCTAAGTCAAATTTTTGAAAGATTTTAAAAACATGTTTTAACTTTCAANATTGAAAGTTGCTATAAAAATTTACAATCATTTGTAAGTATCGGCCAATTCCATTACATACATTCATATCTGATTTGCTGCAGAAGTCACCCTTTAAACTAGATTTTTCAATTTCAATCAGCTATCAATTATTATTAAACATATAACAAGTAGTGATCACCAGGATCACCACATAGCCGATGCTGCCTTTCCTTGTGGATCTACAGGGCTTGCGAAGGAGAAATAAATTAGAAATGCTCAATTTTAAGGTAATTTCCATAGTTGATACCAGGTGTGACGCTCTTAGATTTTTTGTGGGGATCTGCGAAATATGAAGTATACCGCAATCACAGAAAAGAATTTGTGAAAGATTTCATTATTGTCAGGAACTGAATGGTGAAAATTTTGAACTTTTATCAAAATAAACTCTGTTGGATTAAGAATTGAAAGGTTTATGAGACGAGATATCGTGAACAAAGCCCCAAGCGCGGAAGAAACATCCCATGTACCAATACTCTTGACAGAAGTCAAAATCATGAAAACTGTATCGAAGAGAGATACTCGTACATCAGTACAAGAAAATAAATATTTCGAAATAAAACTTCAAAACATTCATTCCTTCCAGAATACCTACACAGTAGGTTCTGGTAAATGCCTGATGGAGCTGTTACTAGTTAACAGTCTTTCTCTTAGATGAAGGTTTCATACATGCAGTCGGGCCGCCTGGATATAGAATCCTAGGCACATTGTTGTTATCTGCACTGATGGGAGGTAGTACCTTGAAACCAGTCTGTAGGTGATCTAATTGATTGATTTCAGCGTGGTCCCGCTACTGGATGAAGAGAAACATCTGCAAGACTAACCTCTGTGAGGTATCTTGTATAAATATCTGTTGAATATAATCCAATATCCAACGTGGTATTAGCAGGGGAATTAGTTGTTTTCCGGCAGGTATTTACGAGAACCTACTGTGTAGAGTTGTTAGGAGAGACAATTTTTTGGAATTATAATTCAAAATATTTATTTTGTTAAAGTTAGATTTCTGCAATCTCCCGAAAAAAAATTAAGGACGCTATATCAGGTAATCAAGCAGACCCATTATAAGAGACCTCGACTGTCTCTCAACTGGTTTGGATGATTATCATATGGCTACTCTCGAACAAACCTATCATAATGAGAAGGTGTCCCATCGTGTTGAAATATAACATAAGTTGAAAATTCATTAGGATTATTAATTATCCATACCAGCAGATTGGCAGAGGCAGTGTTCCGTAAGAATGGTCTGCTAGATTACCTAATATGACAACTTTGTTTATTTTGTGGGGACAGATGAAATATAAAGTGTACATTACAGAACTTCACTCCATTTCAAAACTCATGGATAGAATACGAAGGGCTTGCAACGAAATTACCTCAGAAACATTTCTCAATGTGAACTGATCCAATTTCAAAAAATAAAGTGGAGTTCAATAGAGAATTAAATTGAATTTCACAATTTCTGAATAGTCTAATAATCTGTTATATTTTTGTGATACGTAAAATACTGGAAGGTGATGAATAATTTTAGGTTCATTGACTGATTACCCACAACTATCCAACCATTTTAGTCCTCATCCAAGCTTATCTAGTTTTTGGAAAAAGGAAAGAAAAATAAAAATAAAGAATACATATTTTTTCTTTTTTGGTACTTGTATCTTTTCCACCCTGATTATTTATAGTGATTTTGCCTTTTTTTTTTAAAGATCATCGAGAAATGGAAACTCTCCAGTACAATCATAGGAGTTGCTTCTGTTTATTCAAACATGATTAAAATTCCATTTCATATCATAAAAATGTGGACAGATTAGCCTTCAGCTGAACAGAGAATGTTCACAGAATTGTATGGAAATAAATCAAGTCTGACAGTTTTCTTAAATAATATATATGCTATTAGTTGAGAAACAGAAACAGTTTACATTCTGCTCTAGAAATTGCAAGTAGTAATAAATAAACTAAACATATTCACTATGTTTTTCAATCCCAAACCGATCAAGTAAATAACAAATTTCCTTCCTTATTAGTAATCAGCAGCTCAATATCTACGAAATAAATTCACAAATGTATTCAATACAGTTGCCTCTTGTAGTTTTGATAAATTTTGAAAATAACAAAACCCGATGTTAGATTTCATGGAAATGATGACATACCTGTGTCGCCATCTCCATACTCTGCCATGGAATCAGTATCACTCTCTGGTCCTATTTTTGGTTCACTACTCATCGAAGCCCGTCCATGTGATTTATTGTCCAAGCTGAAAACACAATAATCAATTTAGAAAATCTAAATCTATAACAGAAAAGAATGAAGAAATAAACAAAATTCTTACACATTCGTAGTATACCTAATTGTACAAAAGCGATTGTAGGTACTTCTCTACATTATAAACATTTATAAATACAGTCAAAACCATTTATGACTTCGCTTGTATCAACATGTTTGTACACTGTCATGGATATACTCATGTCTCCAATGATATTATCATCTGATTACCGTGTTAGGAAACACACGTTAAAAGGTAAGACCTCGTTAGTCCTTAGCTCACACAAGTTTCTCAACTTTTGAGAGTTGTCGTTCGTATGGAGGTGACAGCTGATTAACGGAAAAACAGATTTTAAACAGAAACAGATTGAATAATACCCAAATTACATTTTAGTCATTGTCTCATTTTCAAAAATATTTGATGAAAATGAAGCCATATAGATTTTTTTAAATTTCATGCCTGCATGATACATGCATGCATGTATCATGCATGCATGAATCTTTGAAAGACTTATGTTTATCCTTGCATCAAAAAAAAAAAAATCGAGTTATCTCATTTTAGAACCAATCTTCTAGAGTTTCAAATAAGTGCAGGAAGTTTTTTCACATTATGCAGCTCTAAAAATTCAAGAAAAGTTTGCAGTTGTATCTTTGTACAACCCGAATTTGGCTCCCAATTTTTTGACGAAAATTACATGATTTGTACTCTCATGAAAATAGATTAGTAAAAAATAAGAATTTCTAATATTATGATAATTTCAGAAACGTACATAAAACGTGATGTACTTACGGCTGGGAATACTCGTGGAATCCTCCTTCGTCAGGGTAATCGTGCCTGCCGTTGGCTTGCTCTCTCTCGTGCACAGCGTACTTCCCTCCTCTATTTCTCTTGAAGATGCAAACTATGATAAGCACCAACAGCAGGAATGCGATAGCCAGCATCATTCCGATGAACCAACCAGCTGTCGCCACATTCTCCTTAGCTTTAATTATAGGCCCATCTATGTCATAAGTACTCACTTCCTGCGAATCGCTGTCTTTGTAGTACTGACCATCAACTGAAGTAACGATAAACTCATAAACTGTCGTCCCTTCCAAGCCAGGGACTATCAGAAAGTCTTCGTTCTTCTCAGGATCAGTAACCAAGTGATCTGACTCTCCCTTCTTTCTGTATTTGACGAAGAAGTGGGAACCGGTGTTCCCGTCTTCATTTGGCAACCATCGCACCTTCACAGAGGAAGGAGGTCCGGGTTTGACAATCTCCCAAGTGAATGATGGTTTCGAAGGTATGTGCGATCCAAGTGGCTTCGTTTGCCTTTCAATAAAATGCCTTTTAGACTCACCAGCGCTAGTCGTGGCACTGATGTATAAACGATACTTCATACCAGGTGCGAGACCACCTAGTTTGGCGTGTTTTACGTTCGGGTCTGTAATTTGAGGGTTGCGCGGGATGGGCTGGTTCACTTTCATCGTAGGATCCACTTCAGCATAGTATATGTTGTAGCCTGTTAGAATTCCATTTGGTTTATCGGGTTTCTCCCACTTCAACAAGAAGGCGGAAGAACCCAAGGGAGTGGCGTCTAGATCCTGCATTTCCCCTGGTATACCTTCGGGCGTATCGAATGACAATGTTTCGCTGGGTGGCCCATTGTATTTTTCATTGAACACGTAAACCTGAGCATAGTTTTTGGTGTATGGGTCGAAGTTTGTAACCAAAGCCTTCGAATTCCCTCCTTGAACTTGTATCTCCTTGGAAATTAATGAAGTTTCACTCCAAGTCTTGATTTTGTATCCTTTGAAATGTCCCCTGACCGACTCGAGAGGAACTGGGTCCCAACTCAATAAAGCAGTTGTTGGTCCCTGAATGGTTAATAGTGTGAAATTTGTAGGGGCCTTATCTGGTTCACTCTCTCCGGAGTAGCCGATAACTTCTTGAGGAGACACGTTGGCTTCACCGAGTTCATTAACTGCTATTACTTTGATCCTGTACTGCTGGAACGACGGTTGATTGGGTATAACCAGTTTGTCTTGCTTATAGTCGAGGATTTCTTCATATGCATAGTCTTTGCCAGCTATGTCCCGTTTCCAGTAGACTCGGTATTTGAATCCTGGAGCGTTGTGCTCAATTTGTGGCATTGGGGTCCAAGTAATCACTAAGTTATCCGGATGATCTCCCTCGCCTTTGACATTGTCGGGATTTTTGTGAGGTACCTAGAGAGAAAACAAAAATCCATAAATTGTAACAACCTCCATCAAATAAACATTTGAAATAATGTTTCTCCAAAAGCAACCAACAGAGGTATTCAAAACATTTCTAGGAGATATAGAACAGTGAAGAAAGTCTTACTAAAAAATACTTTGTAATAATTTTTATTTGAAGCAGTCGATTTATGGACCCAAATTTGAATAATAAAGGTTATTCAACAACTTAACTTCTATTCTATAAAATTTCATTTTGAGTTAAAATATTGATATGATCAGTAGAACTTCTTGGCAAAATCACCTTAATTACTTCAGAAGCAAGTAGAGAAAATATGATGTTTTAACATCGTGATTGAAAACTGATCGTCACGTCACATCGTCACCATGGCAACATGTTCCAGGTTTATCGAAGAATGACCGCGTATCTTCAATTGGTATATAAAAGGCGAGCAATTGCACACAGAAGAAGATATGATTAATTCATAGAGCGGTTTAAGACAAGCGACAAGCAGTTATGACAAATTTGTGAATAAGTCAGTTTTGACCAATTTTTAATCCTGAATATGGTTCATGTATAGATGTTTCTTGTTTTCGATAGACTTGTGATCCAACACCAGACAGCACTGTTTCCAACCCACCAAGTCTCATCAGTGGTGCTAGGTTGAAACACTAAACTCTCCCGAAAAGAACAACCCTTTACTTTATCAGTAAATAGCCCCATCATATAAAAACAGCAAGTAAAAAACATAGCAAGTTCAATTTCTCATTTTTTATGATGATCTCTTACCACGTAGTAACGGCTACATCCATCAATTTATTAGCTTACTTTTTACTTCATTCATTAAGCATTCCTCCCTAGTGGTTTCAACGTATCACATATTTTGATCAGAACTTTCGATTATTATTTGCCATACGTGCATTTATTTGACATCGGCAATATACAAAATTGAAACAAAATCGATGAAAGAATTTGCAAGGATGCCTACATTCTGGATTATAGGGTAAATTAATGGTAAGTAAATAAAGTAAAAATTTGTATAAAAAATTAATTTCTTCAATAGTACTTCATTTCGTTTCAGACTACACCAACCATAAATGAAAGGAAAGAAAAGTGAATACCTGATGTTTACTCGATTGGAACTCTAAAATTGTATTATTTCCACAACTAAATAATACATCTCACAATAATTGTTTTGAATCAAGTTTTCACATTACAAATGCAAACGACATGCACTTACCTCAGGTGAAGTCGTGCACACGTCAGAATGGGAAGATGGCATAGAGGGCCCGATCTTGTTAACAGCAGTAACACGGAATGTGTAGTTTGCCCAAGGACTCATTGGCACATTATATGTCATATCTGCTGAAGGAACATGACTGAAGGCATCTTTCCATTCCTCAGGAGTGAAACTCGTATTATACTGAATGATGAAGTAGGAAATTGGAGCCCTATTGTCACCCATTGGCATCCAGCTGATAGTGGCATCTTTGGTGTGACACTCAACACCGATCATTCGAGGAGGGTTTGGCACATCCTGCACTGTGAGCTGGGCCTTAGCAGAAGCTTCGTCTAATTCAGTTCGAGCCAAACAAGTATAAGTACCAGAATCGAGTTCGATAGTTTTCGTTATGGTTAGGGAATAGTCCGAAGATTTAACAAATCTTGGCTCTCCCTCGAAATCGATAGGCTGATCATTTTTCAACCACAGAATTTCCAAGTCAAGCGATTCGTCGGCTACCGCATTGCACCTGAATGTAGCAGGAGTTCTTGCTTCAACTTCGTAGTCTTCTGGACCATCAGTTATGTAAGTATGAGCTGAAAGTAATAATCAAGTTAAAAAAGCAACCGCTGAATATTTTCAACTTTTTTTTAACAAACTGCCACTTTTACCTTGAGCTTACCTTTGATATCCAATTTGGCGCTAGCACTGGCGTTTCCCAACTTATTCTCAGCATAGCATGTGTAATTGCCTCTGTCATCGAATAGAACAGATGAAATATGGAGATCACCAGATGGTTGAATTTCATATCTACCACCAGTTAATTCTTTCTTATTGTGAATCCACTTGATTTTTGGTTTTGGCGCTCCCAAAACTTTACAAGTTAAATTCACGTTTTTATCATCCACAGCCTGAGTGTCTCGTGGGGCCTCAATTATCTCTGGGGCCAGAGCTGGAAATTCGAAGATTAATGAAACAACTTTCAAAGTGTAACAGCAATAGAAAATTTTTCAATTTCGATTAAATATGTTAGTGATTTTGAAAAAAAATTACTGACCTAAGACATTAACATAAACATCCTTGTAAACATAACCCAAACTATTAGTAGCGTTGCAACCATAGTTGCCAGTGTCATTTTTAACCAGTCTCTCTATAACGATTTTGTTTGGGTATACTTTTCGCCTTGGATTGGGAGGGGATTGTTCAATAGGTTTTCCGTTATGGATCCACTTTATAGCAGGCTCTGGATCTCCTTTAGCTTCACAAACAAACTCTACTGTTTCATCTTCAGCTGCATTTACTTTCTCAGGTTCAATAGTAAAGTACGGAACAGCTGAAATTGCAATTGAAATATAAATACAATTTTACGACTCATTTTCAAATTTCTACCTTGAACTTGTAGGTTAATGGAATAGGATTTAGCTTCTCCTACTCCGTTACTAACTTCACATGTGTATGTCCCTCGATCCTCAAAATCAACCACTTTTATTATAAGCGACTTTCCATAATTTCCCTGCGTTATTCGATCCGAACTTTGAACTAATTTACCACCTTTCTTCCATACTGTTTGAGGAAGTGGCCTAAAAAAAGCAATAAAAAAAGTATAGGTGCACAAAATGTCAATATTCCAAACCGAGGATGAGTATGCAGACTTTGTTGCCACTACTCTCATGTATTTTGAAAGATTATTTCTAGACATACAATTACTTTAAAAAATGTTCCGTTATTTTCCACAATCTATTAATTTGAAATGTTTTCAAGTATTTCATAACAAATGAATTTCTTTCAAACGTGGTTTATAAAATTGCTCAAATTTTCAATGCAATACTGATAGTTTTAACATTTTATTTTGACATCAGGTTCATGTTTGGAATCAATTATAATTTTGGATAATAATGTAAAATTACTGACTGATTGTAATTTCCGAAATTATTATTGAACTTGAAATAAAGGGATCAGATATAATTAAAAGGCTTTCAACAGGGTCGTAAATAATTACAGGTCCTAAAATATTGAAAAATCTGCTAGAATCATTTACAACTGATTATTACACACATAATTTTGACCCACTTTACATAAAGATATTGTACCACTATAACTATAGAACAATTGCGTTGCAAATGCCAAGCTATACTCTTCAAAGGAGTAATACTAATCAAAAATTCACATTCGAGAGAACTTTCAGCACCCTATGACTGGAAACAGTTATGTACAAAAGACCTAATAGGTAAACTGAAATCCATTAGGCTTATAAATTGAGTTTTTCATATGAACCCTAACGAGTTTTAGAGATTGTTGAAACTGACGGAGTTTAATACGTATGTTTCTATTACTATGAATTTTATATTTCAATTAGTCTTAATGAAGTTGTAATTTTTTTTTTAATTTATACTTCAAATTAAAATGGTTCCCAGATAAATAATTGGTTTGAATGTGGTTGAAGGCTGTGGTTAAATCTAAAAGTATATAAAGTGAAATTAAAATAACAAGGATAAATATGAAAAGACAAGTAATTAAGAACTTGTGATGCACTGTTTGGAATCTTTAGTGTAATAATGAATATTACTGGAGTTTTTTCCCAACACCAAACCGTTATTTTTAACACCTCGACACGTGTTTCAATCACCAAGTGCTCATCTTCAAGAGGAAGATGACACGTCTTTCATATTGTCGTATTCCTTGATCTGGTTCCATATCATAAATATTCAGAGTCTAGCACACTCATCAGTTCTATTGATTGCCTTTAATTACTAACTGTTTGGGTACTGTAGAGTCAATCTATTTATATCTGCTAGTCCCTCCAGTTCTTAATGGTATTCTCAGACCAGTGTCGATATCATACTAGAATTCATCAATGCATTAAATGCAATTTGGCTCTCTGCAAGAATTAATATTTAAGTAATGTAAATTTCTGTCTACACAGTATATTTCAGCTCTCTTTCCCTGTTTGATATTCGACCTGCCTATATACCAGGTGTTTCTGTCAAGAATGCTCCTCGGAACCATGGAATTGTGTCGACAGTGTACTCGGGTGTACTCAGGTGCGTGAACATGTTTGACGTTCATTGCTACACATATTCCGAAATTTCCGATTCCTTGTAGATCGGGAGATTTTCCATTCTGAATTACCTCCCCTGTTATAACAAGATGTAAAGGTGGTAGATTCAAGAGTATCACTAACGCTGCTGTTGGGGTGGTTTTTATTGTTCGTATTATTCTTGAGTGTATAGTTTGTTTTCTTTCTGGCTACTAAACCAAAGGAGCATACGTTATCAATGCAACATATCTGGTTTCAGTCCTTATGTATTTTATGTTTGTTTCAGGTCAATTTGAAAACTAGTATCATGCTCAAATATTTAACCTCCTCGGTAATTGTATCTATTAAAAAAATATGATCACTGAAATACTTACGTCCCGCCAAAGATACAGTACAACTCTGCGCGTTTTCCTCTGTAGGCCACCTCATTTTTCCTGGTGACATACTGAAGAACTGGCTCATGTTTATTTTGGGAAGCTGAAACTCCGGATGACACGACATTCAACAACACCCTGTTGCCGTATTTATATTCGTACTTAGTTGGCGATGTAGCGGCGCAAGCATACATGAAATTGTTTGTGACGTCAGATTTCGTGAGGTTCGAAAACCACAGATTTCCCTCGGGATCCAGGGTCATCCGGGAACTGTTGATAGTTTTGAAAGCGCCATTGGTGTAAAAATAGATCCAGTGGACGATGGGCTTAGGCCATCCGTCTGGAGGCTGGCAAGTGAGCTTGAACGGTTCTCCTTCGTTGCCAGTCAAGGTTAAAGGTTGGCTGGCCTTGAAGGAGTTGAGCTCGGCCTTACGCATGAACACCGAGTTGGAAGTTGCCGTGCCATACTGATTTTCGGCGAAACACTGGTACTGCCCGAGATCTACATCGGATGGTTTCGTTATGGACAAGGTTCCCCTTCCAGTTTGCTGGGAAATTCGATCGTCGTATGTTTGCCATTCGAACGGCTTCCCATTCTTGATCCAGTAGTATCTAAAAGGCGATATTCAATTTTGAAACAAATTATATGCACAAGACAGTATTCCACAATTTTCGAGATCGTTTATAGTTGAATGAACATGATATTGCGGTTTTCGAACAGAAAATGAAAATTATTACGTTACTGCCCCAATAATAGACGATATATTTTTCACGCTGACTTGACGTTAATACCCAAAGAGTAAAACCTTTGGGAAACTTGAGGATAGCTAAAATTGCAACAATAAACATTTCGCCCACTGCTAATTTTTTTCTCAAGTTTTTCATACTTTGGGGCAGGTTCTCCAATAGCCTCGCATTCGATGTAGAAAGGTTTGTCATTCTCTCCATTGGATTCCACTTGAAAGAGAACTTCGTCAGTGGGAGGTTGTTTCACAATATATGGGGGTGATGGAACTACAAAAATTATATATTAGCCTTTTTCGTGATCTAGCTGAAAACACCTTACCTTCCCTAGATATCGTCCAACTAACATATAATGTCAGAATTAGAAAACAGTCTAAACAGTATTTCATTGTTTGTGGGGTTAGGTACTAACTATATCTGAAACAAAAAAGTATTTACAGTCTGATTATCAGCGCATTTCACATAAAATTATTTAATTTGCAAGATGATCTTTGCAGGAATTTTCCCAATAACAGGAATTATAATATTAGTTCGGGATGTAACTGTTTGAATTAAAAAATCAGTTTCTTTCAGTTTATAATGGATAAAAATTAAATGACACTAAATAGTGGAAATTACCTTGTATGTATATGTATCTATAAAATATATTTTCTACTGTTATATGTATCAATCTGATGTCCTTCTGACACAAAATCAACTATTAAGCATGAAAATAACCTGGCAATACCGGTCGTATTAGTATGGCTCGACTTCTTGCTTCAAAAAGACAATATAAAAAGATTTTTGACAAGGACATTTCCAAAGAAAGAAAATAAATAACTACTATGAAAAATCTTTACAAAGATATGTAGATCATGCACAAAAGTTTCTTTCAGATTCAAACTGAAAGAAAAAACACTTTTGAAACAACTACTTCCACATGAACATTGAATCACACGAAAGTAAAAGGTTATTTTATTTTGGTCTACTGTTTTTATTCAGTTTTCCAATAAGTGTAACGTGTGAGACATCTCTAAGAAAATATAATTCAACCGGTGGAAGATACTCATCCGATTTTCCATTATCTGTTCATTTATATTTTATTACCTTCAACTGGTTTCATCCAATCTTATTTGAATTTTCTATATTTTTACCTAGTTTTTATTATATTGATATAAATTATGTCCTAAAGAAAATAACACCAGTCGCAGCTAGTCGTGCTCAACTCGAGGTGCGCTCGCGGCCATTCCAGACATGGCATCGCTTCGAGAATAATGCTACCGGCGTCCATGGAATTCCGGAGAATTTTCTACCGCCTTCGATTGTCATATATAAAAGCTACCTACAAGCGAAGTTTCGCGGACACTGCAGTACAGAGCGATCTAAGAAGGCGATTAACATTTGAATAATAGTTGAAGTTTTAGTTTGGTAGTATTAACAGTGAAATGAAGTTAAGTTTGATTATTGTTCAGTGTAGTCAATTATTGGTAAACCCACGGAAAAGGCGTAACAATATATAACATGTAATTTACTTTTAATAACTTACTGCAGTGACTGACTAGCTGTAAAAATACTATTGTGAATAAAATAGTCAGGTCGGAACAATTTTTTAAAATTTCTGCTATATTATTCATTGTTTTGATTTGAAAACACGGTGATTGTTACATTTTTCGACTTCCATTATCTTCCTGTGATAACTATTATTATCCGAAGCCGATTGTGGATAATAACAATAAAAAACGTCGTGAAGTAGTTCAGTTTGAAATATTTTCATTTTTCGTATTTTTGCATTTTTTTTATTTTTCATCGTTATTTCATTTCTATTTTTATCTGACTTGTAATGTTAACATATATATGACATTTCACTCATTGTTAATCCATTTATTAATTAGTTTTCATTTTAGCCTCAGTTTTTTTCTTCACAAATCAACGTCTTCAAACAAACATCAAAACACCGTTATTAAAAAAAAAGCTAAACCTCAATTTTAAAAATGAACTAAATAAATGAATCCTGATAACTTGGTTATCGAAACGCGGATCGGTGTTCTGGTGAGGGAAAAGTGTTTTCAACAGATGATTGTTATGATTGATCAATTTCACCAGTTTCAAAAAGGGGAAATGTTCATCGCGCCCACTTCATACCTATGCCTTCACTGCGCTACCTTTTAGCTACGGTCCTGTTAGTATATGTTGATCATTGTGGTTAGTTGTGGTAGTTCCCTAGTCCATCACTAGGAAATCAGGCTCTTGATGGTATTTTTATTACCACAGAAAATATATTTCAAGGTTTTTTATTAACTGAGATTCGAACACACACACGCACGCACTCACACACTTTATGTAAAGCTGTAATTTCGTTAGTGAAAGATTAAATTAATACAGCACCTGTCTATTTTTTGCCATCGTCGATAGGTTTCCTAAACTTCCCTGCAGAAGGTTTTGGTTGCTTCACGGTTTTACCCTTGGATATGATTAAAATCACAAGTGTCAAATCATTAATGAGTGCTTTAAAACGAAATTTAATAGCGTTTAACAATCTCTGTTGAATATGTTTCTGGATTAGGATACTATAGCAAAGTAAAATTCATTTAATTAATACTCATGTAGAAAAGTGTCTTTCAAATCATTGATGCGTTTCTAAACAAAATTATTAGTAAAATACCAACCCCTAACTACTAATTAGTCTTGTAGTTCGGTGTATCCCAAACACTGAGTGTAATTTTGGCAGGTAAAAACAACCATTGATTTATATTTGAAATACCATGTAGTGGTGTGCCAAATCACCAACGGGTTCTAGTTTTTAATATTATTGTACAAAGGATTACAATATCTCAAAACCAGAGCTCAAGGAGATGAAAAAAAAACATCTTCTGAAGACGCTAACTTGGTTGATGAAACGTGCATCGAGAACAGTATTGCATTTCTGGTGATTGGGAAAAGTGCTTGTTTTGGATTTATTCTACGCCAGAGGTTTCAGTTTCATCTTATATCTATTAGGTTTTAAGGTTGAAAAAATACAGCATAAAAATATTATACATTAAAAAATCTTTCCGTTATTACGTTTCTGTTATTAATTTCAAGTGATGATATGAGACAGAGAACAAATTTTGGTTCTGTGAAAAATTTGGATGGTATCCAAAGTTATTTACGTCTAAACTTGGCCAAGTATCCAACGAAACTAGAAGATGAGAAAAATTTTTAGAAAGAACTACTGCGATACGAAATAAACATCATTTATTTGTTGGTTATTCATTTATAAGTCCTAGTGTCACTTGCAAGGACAAATTTAATTCAGATCAATTATTGTATGCTACCATAAAACACTTATTAAAATTGATTATTAAGTAAATATTGTCAGAGACATTCATATAGAATGAGTTGACTAGCAGATTTAAAAAAAGTAAATAATACAGGTTATTTTGTATGATTTTCACTATAAAGGGTTTTACAAAACCCTTAACCTACTTAGACCAACCCACTACAAATATTTCAGATTTTCTGCACAGCAAAGGTGTAAATATTCATTTTAAAACCAACAATAGCCCAGGCATGCAAATTAAGAATAACGAAGATAAAAGTTCAGTTTCAGAAAAATCAGGAGTGTATAAATTATCGTGTGGGTCATGTGTCATGTCTGATGCTTTATATAGGTCAAACTGGAAGAGCGTTCAAAGCCCGCACAAAGGAACACAAATATAGTGTCCATAATGGACAAATAAATTCCACATATGCCACTCATTTAATCACAGAGGGACATTAGTTCAACCATGAATACAAGCCCCTCCATTTTCAGAAGGAAGGTTTGAAACTTAACCTATTGGAGAGTATGGAAATAAACAAATTCAAAAACTCTCAATATCTTATGAACAATCAAACTGAATTGAATAATTCTCATTTCCAGGTAAAAATGGTTCGGTATATTTACAGGTATACTTTCGAAAAATTTATTGATATAATTGAAGAATTTATACCTGTAATTTTCAGATAGATTCATTAATTAGGCAGACGAGTAGGTAAAAGGTTAGAGTATAAAATGGTTGTAATTTATAAGTAACTGTCAGTTTATGCTTGAGAAAGCTATTGTATAGCGAAATACGTGTCGCGGTTTTTGTAAACCCCTTCATAGTGAAAATCATACAATAAACTGTATTAATTATTTTTTTAATATGGATTTTCATCAAGTATCGGCCAGTTCTATTCAATTAGCAGATTTAAAACTGGAAAAAAATGTACTCACCGTTTCAACACTAGACTATGAATGAAATAACGATAAAAAATAACTAACACATCTCAACACTATCAATATCTCGAAATGAAATCATTCATAATTCACAGACGGTTACCACAAACGCGATTTCCATGAACCCACCGGAACGTGATTCATTAGATCTCATGCAGAAGAGAAAGAACATGAAATGAAATAATAAGCGAATATAGTTATGACATTCGATTCATTCATTTGTTTTCAGAACTACCGTCGATCGGAAGAAGTGATGCCATAGCTGATGAGTGAGAAACTCCTGCATTCACAGAATGATTATGTCAATTCCGAGTAATAGTCCTGGTAAATTAGGAATTACGGGTAAAATTATGACATGTTTATGGGCGAGAAACAGTATTATTACCATTAAGTTCTAGAAATCAAATAAATACTCGTCTGAGTGTAGAAACGCCTGAAGAAGCTATTGTATGGCGACACAAGTGTTGCGTTTTTGTTCAAACTTTTTAGTGAAAATACGTTATGGATTTTCATCAAGTATCGGCCGATTCCATCACATATTTATGTAATTATATAGACAGATAAATATTATGAATACTCATTTTTATATAGAGTATCATCCAGGTGAATAAATTAGAAGAAAAAAACATATGAAAAATTATATTCAGAAATTATATTTTCAGTCATATTGACTATTGATCAAAGTTTTGTTTTGGAGTAGAAAAAACGTAATTTTCATTATTTTTAATTAGAGGTTATATTACTACCCGAAAGCTGCTCAAATGAGTGAAGTATCTGATTCGTTGAATTCAACAATTGAATACAAACAACTATTTTGATTAATAACTTATAACAAGAGGTCTAAGTTAGAACTCTGTGCCATACCTAAGCTAACCAACCATAATAGTAGATTTGAATTACTAATTCAATAAACTGCTTTATGTCAAACAGATATTAGTTGAAAAGTAGTATTATAGAATTTGTGAAAGTCCTTTCTTTAAACTTAGCCAGAAGAATATAATGATCAAAGGCTTTCTGGAAATCTAGATAAATAATATCATTTCGACTTTGAAATTGATAATGCAAGACATATGTTGCACAAAACCATACTAATATGTTATTTTTAACCTGTCGAAAAAACTGTTTCAGAATGGAAATTTCAAACAACTTAGGAAAATTACACAGTATCGAAATTGCTCGGTAAGTTTGAAATGTACTA